CATGATGTGGCTGTTACATCATGATGTGGCTGTTACATCATGATGTGGCTGTTACATCATGATGTGGCTGTTACATCATGATGTGGCTGTTACATCATGATGCGGCTGTTACATCATGATGTGGCTATTACATCATGATGTGGCTGTTACATCATGATGTGGCTGTTACAGCATGATGTCATGTACCTTGTGGAAGGTGCCATTGGGATATCTGTGACTGTAATATGCCTGTGATAAAACTAGAATGATATTGAGATTCTTGGCAAACGTAAAGAAGAAAGATTTGGACCTCGTCAAATCTACTTTCACTCGCGTTACTCATATAGCGTTTAAATTATGAGACTGTTAGATTTGAGTGACACCGTTAAATGGGCCAAGCATCGTTGATATGCCTTGATGTTGTTTGTAATCCTGAGGCCCGCGTGTCTTTACTTGCATGTGTGTGCTGGCGTGCGTGCGTGCGTACGTGCGTGCGTACATGAGTGCGTGCGTGCGTACATGAGTGCGCGCATGCGTGCGTGCGTGCGTGCGTGCGTGCGTACATGAGTGCGTGCATGCGTGCGTGCTTGCGTGCGTGCGTGCGTGCGACACTGCCCGGTAAGCACTATAAGCTAGCCTACGATAGTGAATCAGGGCTAAAGACCGTGTTATTGTAACACGTTATAGTGTGCAACATATTCACACATAATCCGTCGTGCGGATCATATGTTGTTATTATTTATTCCCGCCGATTCGGGCCTCGTTTTGTGTTTTGTTTCCTCGTTTAATAAATGACTTTTTCGACTGTTAAACGATGTGTTTCGTGTTTGTGTTTCGATGTGATAGATGCGCGACCAATCGAGCTGTCGTCTGTTTAGCTTGAGCGTTCCTTTACGCCCATATAGGGTGAGAGAGAGGCTTCTAATTCTCTCGTTAAATTGACTACGTCACGAATTTCCTATGGTAAAATTTGTAAAATTTTTGTTGCCATTTTTTTACATTAAAAGTAAGAACTATCGGGACTAAACGTATCGTCAAATTCTTACCTGATAAGATTGTTTCTCAACTATTTTTAAAAAAAACCTGGAAGATTTGATATTATGTTCCGGACATTGATTGCTTGCTATGGGCTATGTGTGAGTCACGAGTGTATGTTTACATCGAACAATACAGTAAAACAGGAAGTAATAATGCAGCAATTTAACCATAAAAAGTGAACAGAATTACTTATATTTTGTGAAAAAATGGAAATTTTATTTTTATTTTTACTATTTACGGTGATGTAATCACTTTAAACACGTTCAAGTGCACACGATTTGACAAAAAATTATCACGAACCTTGTCTTTGTATGAGCGCATATCACACATGTCACTTCTTTTAGAATATACACGACATTCGTAAAAGTGTAACGCAAAAGAGAACGCAAATGTACCGTGACAATACAGCGTCATAACAACGTGCCGAAACAAACGTTGCCATGACAGCAGGGCTGTACGACCAGGCTACTACCAGTGACAGCCTGGAAACACGACTACAGTCTCTAGGATACAAGGCACGTGCTCAACTTGTGTAGCTACCAGGCTCGCATCGTATCTCTATATTCGTAGATGGTCTACTTGCAGGTCAAGGGTAAACGTTTTTGATTTTTGCGATGAGTGCCTATGAATTGTAGAGGATCTATCGGCAAAGCAAGGTTATAACTGGAAGCTTCGCGCTAATAGGTTTGAAAGGGAATAATAATTAATACCTATATAAATTCTTCGTCCTTTTCGTTTCTTCCTCCTCCGCCTCTTACTCTTCCTATATATATGACTTGAAAAGTCCTTGAATTTCATGAAAATGTCCTTGAATTTTTAGAAAGAATCCTTGCCTGTAATAAAAAGAAATTTTGTACCATCAATAATGTACAAACCTCAATAAAAATTGCGTTAAATGAGCTTAAAAAGCTATAGACATGATAGACAGTTAAATGATGATCACAAATTACAGTAAGTCAGTAAAATCAGTCAGTAAATCAAGGTATGTTGTAAAAGTGACAGTGTTTAGAAAATTAGAAGGGTTTATTAATGTGATCCAGGTAAGTTTTAGAGGTGAAATGCAGTGATTAAGAATGGGGTTATTAAATTAATCTAGGTATGTTTTGTTCTGTGTATGAATTCCGATAAAATGTCTGATAAAATGTCCTTGAATTTCCGATAAAATGTCCTTGAATTTCCGATAAAATGTCCTTGAATTTCCGATAAAATGTCCTTGAAAAGTCCTTGAAAAGTCCTTGAAAAAAATTTCAGTCCTGTATGCACCATGTTACTGTAGTAGTAAGAAGTATTGTGAGTGCTAGTAGAAACAGTGGTAGCGCAAATTTATTACCGTAAGTTTTTACCGGTTTATACCGTAGTTTATGACCGTAAACAGTGCGGTCACAGAGATGTTCATGGCGCCATTCGTCATCGGCGATAGCGACGACACACTATAGTACGGGATGCCACCACTAGGCGGCGTAAATCATTCGGTCCCACGATCGTCTGACGAATCTCTCTCGTCCTCGCAGTCTCTCGTCGCAAGTCGGCAGCGTTCTCGGCCAGGGGGCGCTGCCGCTGTCGGCGGGGCTTCCCCTCATGGCCGGTCTTCCCCTGAAGGTGGCGCCGCCGTCCGCGGCCGGGAGCGTGTTCCGCCTGCAGGCGGTTGTGCAGCATCTGGGCGACGTCTTCTCCGGACACTTCATCACGTATCGCAGGTGAGGTGACGCCACCTAGCGGTGCCGGCAATAGAGAGCGTAGCCAGGACCTATCCGCGTTCGCACGAGGATAAATTGTATGAAAGGCTACATCCGACGATTGTACCCGAACAATTTTGTCGGATTACGATTCTCACGAGGCCCCGCGACAATCGCATCCGAAAATTACGTCGGATTACGATTCTCACGAGGCCCTGCGACAATCGCATCCGAAAATTACATCAGCTTACTATTCTCACGAGGCCCCGCGACAATCGCATCTGAAAATTATGTTGGATTACGATTCTCACGAGGCCCCGCGACAATCGCTTCCGAAAATTACATCAGCTTACGATTCTCACGAGGCCCCGCGACAATCGCTTCCGAAAATTACATCAGCTTACGATTCTCACGAGGCCCCGCGACAATCGCATCCAAAAATTATGTCGGATTACGATTCTCACAAGGCCCCGCGACAATCGCATCTGAAAATTATGTCGGATTACGATTCTCACGATTCTCACGAGGCCCTGCGACAATCGCATCCGAAAATTATGTCGGATTACGATTCTCACGAGGCCCCGTGACAAGCGCATCTGAAAATCACATCAGATTACGCATTCTCACGAGGCCCCGCGACAATCGCATCTGAAAATCACATCAGATTACGATTCTAACGAGCCCCGCAGACAATCGCATCTGAAAATTACGTCAGATACGATTCTCACGACGGCGGCCCCGCCGACAATCGCATCTGAAAATTACGTGAGGATTACGATTCTCACGATGGCCCCCGACAATCGCCATCTGAAAATTACGTCGGGATTACGAGTTCTCACGAGGCCCGCCGACAATCGCCATCTGAAAATCACATCAGATTACGATTCTCACGAGGCCCGCGACAATCGCGTCTGAAAATCACATCAGATACGATTCTCACAAGGCCCCGCCGACAATCGCATCTGAAAATTACGTCGGATTACGCATTCTCACGAGGCCTCGCGACAATTGCATCCGAAATCTACATCGGTTACGATTCTCACCGAGGCCCCGCCGACAATCGCCATCTGAAAATTACGTCGGATTACGATTCTCACGAGGCCCCCGGACAATCGCATCGAAAAATTACGTCGCGATTACGATTCTCACGAGGCCCCGCGGACAATCGCATCTGAAAATTACGTCGGATTACGATTCTCACGAGGCCCCCGCGACAATCGCCATCTGAAAAATTACGTCGGATTACGATCTCACGAGGCCCCGCCGACAATCACATCCGAAAATTACGTCGGATTACGATTCTCACGAGCGCCCGCCGACAATGTCGCGCATATCCGAAAATTACATCTTATTACGATTCTCCTAAAACAAGGCCCTGCCCGACAATCGCCATCCCAAAATTACGTTAGGATTACGATTCTCACGAGGCCCCGCGACAATCGCCATCGAAAATTACGTCGGATTACGATTCTCACAGGGCCCGCGACAATCGCATCCGAAAAATTACGTCGGATTACGATTTCTTAACGAGGCCCGCCGACAATCGCATTCTAAAATTACGTCGGATTACGATTCTCACGAGGCCTCGCGACAATCGCATCCGAAAATTACGTCGGATTACGATTCTCACGAGGCCCCGCGACAATCACATCCTAAAATTACGTCGGATTACGATTCTCCTAAAATTACGTAGGATTATGATTCTCACGAGGCCCCGCGACAATCACATCCTAAAATTACGTCAGCTTACGATTCTAACGAGGCCCCGCGACAATCGCATTCTAAAATTACGTCGGATTACGATTCTCACGAGCCTCGCCGACAATCGCCATCTAAAATTACGTCGGATTACGATTCTTCACGAGGCCCCGCCGACAATCACATCTGAAAATGACGTCGGATTACGATTCTCACGAGGCCTCGCGACAATCGCATCCTAAAATTACGTCGGATTACGATTCTCACGAGGCCCCGCGACAATCGCATCTGAAAATGACGTCGGATTACGATTCTCACGAGGCCCCGCGACAATCGCATCTGAAAATTACGTCGGATTACGATTCTCACGAGGCCCCGCGACAATCGCATACTGAAAATTACTCGGATTACGATTTCTCACGAGGCCCCGCGACAATCGCATCCAAATTACGTCAGATTACGAATTCTCACGAAGGCCCCCGCCGACAATCGCATCTGAAAATTACGGATCGGATTACGATTCTCACGAGGCCCCACGACAATCGCATCCGAAAATTACGTCGGGTTGCCGACCGTGTTATGGTAACGTGGCACCTGAATGGTCGACAATGTATTAGCCAGCGAGCCGTGCAGCCGTGATTTGCACGGCGTCAGTTTTTGAAACTGCACGGCCAAAATGTGACACGGCCTAAAATATGATTCTAAAGCTTGGCTGAGACACACATACAAAAAAATTGCACTCCCAAATATTTTTTCGGCACTCCCACAATACTCATTCCTGGCTAATACCCTGATGGTCGATAGATGACTGCAGAAACAGTAGGGAATGTCGTGGGGCTGCCAGTGACAGTAAATCCGCACAAGAAAATGCTGCTCAACAAGACAACTGCTGTCTAAATTGTGCCTTGGTTTGCGGGGGTCGCACCAGAGGTAATTGCCAGAGGCAGGTACAGTAGTACGGTGGTAGAGTGGTGCGGTGGTACTCACAGTGAACAGACCTTAAACAAGCCTCTGTCTAAATCGTGACTTGCTTTGCAGAGGTCCCACCAGAGGGCAGTGGTTCTGCACGTCGGACTGTAGCGTGCACCGCGTGTCGCGAGACGAGGTGTTTCGCGCCACCGCCTACATGCTCTTCTATGAACGCGTCAGCTAGGTGCGACGACGTCGCCGTGACGATGACGGCAACCCTCCATCGCGACGATGATGACGCTCCGTCGCCGCGACAACCACGACTGCTGTCTCTCAGCCTCCGACTCTTTCCTCATCCGATCGGACGGCTGTCGATGCTACTTGTTGCGAACGGCGTTTAAGTTGCACAGCATTTGTATTGATTAATACTCGGTCATTCGGTATCGCTAATTCAATTCCGTGGCATCCATAATGGATAATCGCCTTATCCAGTAACAATGGCATGGCCCGATAAACCCATACCTCCCCTTATCCAGTAACAATGGCATCGCCCGATAAACCCATACCTCCCCCTGATACAGTAACAATGGTATCACCCGATAAACCCATACCTCTCCTTATCAAGTAACAATGGCATCACCCGATAAACCCATACCTCTCCTTATCAAGTAACAATGCATAGCCTCAATAAACCCATATCTCCCTTTATCAAGTAACAATGGCATCACCCGATAAACCCATACCTCCCCTTATCCAGTAACAATGGCATCACCCGATAAACCCATACCTCTCCTTATCAAGTAACAATGGCATCGCTCAATAAACCCATACCTCTCCTTATCAAGTAACAATGGCATAGCTCAATAAACCCATATCTCCCTTTATCAAGTAACAATGGCATCGCCCGATAAACCCATACCTCCCCTTATCCAGTAACAATGGCATCGCCCGATAAACCCATACCTCCCCTTATCCAGTAACAATGGCATCGCCCGATAAACCCATACCTCCCCCTGATACAGTAACAGTGGCATGGCCCGATAAACCCATACCTCCCCCTGATACAGTAACAATGGCATCGTCCGATAAACCAATATCTCCCTTATCAAGTAACAATGGCATGGCCCGATAAACCCATACCTCCCCTGATCCAATAACAATGGCATAACCCGATAAACCCATACCTCCCCTGATGCATCAAACTAATGGCATAACCCCCGATAAACCCGATTCTCCCTTGTCAAGTAACAATGGCATAACCCGATAAACCCATACGTCCCTTACTCAATGTAACAATGGCATCGCCGACATAAACCCTATACCTCCCACTGAGTCCAGTAACAATGGTATCTGCTCGACACACTACCCATATCTCCCTCTTATCCAGTAACAATGCAGTCGCCCGGCGATAAGACCCATACCTCCCTTTCATCCAGTAACCAATGGCATAGCCCGATAAAAACAATATCTCCCCTTCATCAAGTAACGCATGGCCATAGCCCCGATGAAACCATACCTCCCCTCTATTCCAGTAACACATGGCATAGCCTCGATAAACCCATACCTCCCCGATCTTGTATAGTACACAATGGCATGCCGCCGATAAACCCGATATCGTCCCACTATCCAGTAACAATGCGCATAGCTCGATAAACCCATTACCCTCCCTTTATCCAGTAACAATGCATGGCCCGTAAAACCCATACTCCCCCTGATCAATAACAATGGCCATAACCGATAAACCCATACCTCCCCCTGATCCAGTAACAATGGCATGGCCCGATAAACCCATACCTCCCCCTGATCCAATAACAATGGCATAACCCGATAAACCCATACCTCCCCCTGATCCAGTAACAATGGCATAACCCGATAAACCCATACCTCCCCCTGATACAGTAACAATGGCATGGCCCGATAAACCCATACCTCCCCCTGATACAGTAACAGTGGCATGGCCCGATAAACCAGGTCTTGCTGTGCAGGGGTCCCACAAGAGTGTAGTGTCTTTACTTCCCTATTGTTGCGATTATGTCTTTGAGTGTATATAATCTTTTTGCGGGTATTTTTCGCCGCTTTTTTGTGATTTTGCCATTGTGTACTCGTTAAAGCTGATATGAATGTGATCAGCGACATGTGAGGCGAGGAACTGATGGATAAATATCTAAATATATAGAAATATCTAAATATATAGCTGTATGAGGTGATGTAGCTATATTGCAGAATGATGTAGCTAGCTGTTACAATGTGATGTAGCTGTTAGTTAACATAAAGGCCCCCGCACACAGTGAGATTCGTGCTGAGCACGGAGCGTGAGTTTCGTGCTCAGAAGGAATCTCACACCACTGTTCATGGTAAGGTTCATGCTGAGCACGGATCTGACGAGCGGGTGCCACTGTAGGTCATGTGACTGATCAA